GGGAACACAGACGATTGTCTGCAGCGTGGAGTACGTGAGAGATCTATACAACATGGCCAGTTCAACTTTTGGTTACCTGAATTCCTGCGCTCTGGGCACAAGCACAGAGGGGAGGAGTGAAGTCAGCACGCAATCTTGGAGCGCAGGTGATAAAAACAAAGGAAAAAGAATACGTTACCTTGGCAAGCTCCAGTCGCGCGCAGTGAAAGTTAATGGGCTTGACAGTGTCGCAAATCCATATGTGCTGCCCAAACTGGAACGCCCGCCCTGGAATGCTGCGAGTTCTCCTGGAGCTTATCAGCCTTGGAACAAGACAAGAAGCGTGTTTCTACGTACCCTTCACCGCAGGCGAAATTCCACGACTTGGAGAGGAGATAGAACCACTCCTGGTCGGTGACATGGTCCACCTCTCGATAATCCTCCTCGGGATGGCACAGGTCGTGGAGCTCGCACAAGGCGGACCTTGCGCCTGAGAATTTGGTCGGCATCGAACTGCTTGGCCTCGTTCCGCTGGGTACTCTTCTCGTTGGTGGTGGAGAAGTAGCCGTCTTCCCAGCCCAGAATCCTGAAGTGAAGTGAGCGCCTTTTAGAACCATGGCAGATGATGCTAGGTGATGCTACGAGAGAGAGAGAGAGAGAGAGAGCTTACATCTGGCCGTCGGCGCTGGAGAGCTGCCAGAAGATTGCATACGTCCAGGAGCAGAGGGACGAGTTGTCGACGAGCAAGGTGAGCTTGTGCTGCAGCGCCATGTCCGCAAACGTGCTCTGGATGGCCCCCCCTCCGCCCACCTCTTCCTGGAACGGATTGAAAGGATCCATTCCCCCTCTCCCCCTCTCCCTCTCCTTCTCCCTCTTGCTACAGGAAGAACACACAAATCTCCTGAAAAAACAAGCGCGTGCTGCGAAAGCAGAGGAGGTCGCGCGTCCATATGTATATAATATTCTCTATAGTGGTTGAATAAAAATTAGCCAAATTGTATGTTAATTTGCCTTTTATTCTTTAATTTTACTTTTCTAAAATTTCTTCAGTGGCTGATTTAAACCCTGGGTTTTAACATGACTTTAGAGAAGATTGATCTTAATCAATGTCTTACTAAAGATTCCTTTCTGAGTTGTTTTTTGCCAACATGACTCTAACTAGTTTTTCTACATTCGAGATGCTACTTTTAATATTACTTTATAATAGTGTGGTTTGGGTAAGCAAATTTGTGTGGTACTGGATATACCTAGAATATATTTAAATATTCTAGAATACTTTACTATCCAATGGTTGTTATTTATTTAGATTAATCTTGTATTTATAAGATGTAAATATGTTTATAATTATAAACTTCCATTTGATTAATTTGGTTAATAAATAGTAATAACACTACTACAAAGCAAATCAAGTGTTGCTATTAATATTATTATTGCATGAACTGACTTAAGCTATATAATTAAACAGCAAATCAAGTTTTAAAATTGACATATTTATATTTTCTCAAATTAAATAGATTTATGTAGCCGTTTTCCTTGAAGGGCAATAAAATAGATTATTCTTTCAGAATATTTTTTTCTTTTCTAAAGGATGAATGAGCATTCTAAATGTGATGAATTTCTCTACCCATTTTGTTAGTGTATATTTTTATATTCCATTTTTCTCTTACCACCTCTTTGGTATCACAATGAATATAATTGTGTATATTTTTTATAATGCTTACATTATTTATCATATGCAAATTATTTTTTTGTTTTGAGTTGCATACAAAAATATTATGTACACAATCACTTTTCAAGTGCTATATTAGCAATCAAAATGTGATTATGTGTATAATATTTTTATCATGGGATATGCCCTATATACATGGTGTGATATCCTATGCAAAACTGATCTTAGACAACATGAGGTCATTATAGATTAATAGTCATTTTTTTGTCTTGTATCATTGCGTGTAAATTTGTGATCTGCTGATTATGATTATCTCTTTACTATTATTTCATGCAACTATGGCTCATTTCTTATAATTTAGAAGCGTAATTTGATTGTAGCATTCCCTCGGTCTCACATCATGTGTTGCAATAAAAGCATTTAAACCACAATAACACTCTTGAGAGGATATACCCCTTCCTAGCCTCCTAACCTATAGTATTGAGATATTAGTGCAATGTACATTTGTGTAAGTTTTTGAATTTTCATTTTCTAGAAAATCATCCAACCCAATATTATTCAAACCCAAATATCTGAAAATTCTTAATTAATTAAAAAAAAGTTGCCCTTACCATCTATATTTGAATTCTTATAGATCAAATTGTTTTAAATATCAAACCCAAAGTGTAAACCCTTCTAACATATTAAAAAATTTGACATTGAGTCAAATGTAGTGTAGAAAATTGTATATGTGACACTAACTTAGAAAGGCACCATTACATGCCCATACATAAAAAATGTTGTGTTTTAAAGTATAATTTTGTGAGTCACACATGTATATTACAATAATTTAAACACATATATATTTACTTTTTTTCATATATTTTGCAACGTTTTGCCAAGTTGCCCACCTAAGGTACACTTCCCCTCATATTATCAAGTGACTCACATGTTTTATGTGAGGATAACTAAGGTAAGCTTAAGGAAGAACCATCCCCACTATCCAACAAGAGCCACTTGACGGTCAAGGACAAGAAAAGAACTGGCGTCCTTTGTGCCAGTGTTAAAGCTGACATATAGCACGTGGTTATGTACAATTTTTACAGCAAGCATACACGTAGCTCAATATAATTGGTTGCATGCAGCAGCACATTTTAAATATAATCAGCCCTAGAATATATAAACCGTAGGCTTCCAAGTTTCCTGGAGCTCATTCAATTGGTTGTATCCAGTCTCATGCCAATGGCTCTCCGCTTTACTCTTTTTCTTGCTGTAGCATGCACCATGGCAATGTTTATGGCATCTGCTCGTCCTGCTAATATCGGTGAGTGTGAGATGTGGCTCCGGTTTCTTGGTCACTGACATTCCCTGTGCTGCAGGAGAAGAGGTTTACGACATAACTCGGCAGAACAAGGAGGTAGCTGGCTTCGCTGAAGATCATCCTGTTAACACTGGTGAGTGTGAGGTTTCATTGGCTCTTTTGGTCACTAAGATTCTGTGTGATGCAGAAGATGATCATGGGGATCCAGCTCTCACCTTGAAGAGTTGTGCCGGCAAGGGCCACAGCTGTGCACCGTTCTATATTCCAAAGGGAGTACAGTGCTGTGCGGGGCTCCACTGCGTGGCACTCATCTTTGGTGTTGGTGGAGTCTGTGCATGATTGACTCTATGTTTCTTTGCCTACATCGCAAAGGTTATAATAAGGTTTCTATTTCCTCCCTAGAATGTCGTGAGGAAAGATTGATAGAAGTTCGTGGCTACCGACTACTCAACGCTTAATCCCATCTATTAACAATGTAGAGCTCCCTGCTGCCATCGCCATGAAGCAGAGTCTGACGGACAAGAAGAGGACGCCAACCCGCTCAAGAACTTCAATGCGATGGTGAAGCTGAACCACTGCGAGGACTATGATGGTTTTGTCTTGTCTAAACTTTGCGGTCGGTATTGTGTTGTGTCCTGGAGGCGATAGTTTTGAGAGAGCTCTGCAATTACGGCAGTCCAGGAGACACCATCTCGATCCTCAGGGGCTGCTGGGGGCATTCGAAGCGACGGCGATCAAACACGAGCTTCGCTTCGTCTCGGTGAGCTCTCCGAACTGGGACAAGGAGTGGTGGAGCCACGTCCAGTAGCTCCTCCCCCGCTCGGGCATGGAATTGCCTGGTTGTCTCAAAAACGTACATCTTTCAAGTGTTCTTAAATAACTAGTATCTCCAAGTTGAGAAAGGATAAAATCTATTTTTAATGCAAAAGCGAAAAGGCATTTTGACGCATGTTTAGGACTTTTATGTCTTTTATGCCGATATTGGCTACGTGTATGCTTGCTGTAAAGCTTTGTGCATACTGTAGTACGTATGCTATATGTCAGCTGTAAAAGAAATTGTCAGATTCCTAAATCTGAGACTATATAAACACTAATAGAATATATTATGTTATTTGAAAGTGAAATATTGTGTGAGGAATGACAAAATAAATTTTTTTACCATTTTTGAAAAGGGTAGAAATTTGTTTTTAAGGGCTAACCTTCAAAACAAAGAAACTTTTAAAATGCAAAAGCTTAAGGATTTTGAAAGTTCTTCTCTTGTCCTTGACTGTCAAGTGGCTTTTGTTGGGTAGTAGGGATGGTTCTTAACCTTACTTTAGTTATCCTTACATAAAATGTGAGTCACTTGGTAATATGAGGGGAAGTGTACCTTAAGTGGGCAGCTTGGCAAAACATTGCAAAATATATGAAGAAAACAAATACATGTGTGTTTAAATTATTATAATACACATGTGTGACTCACAAAATTATACTTTAAAACACAACTTTTTTTTATGTATGGGCATTCAATGGTGCGTTTTTAAATTAGTGCCATATATACAACTTTCTACACTACATTTGAATCAACGTTAAATTTTTTAATATGTCAGAAGGGTTTAGAGTTTGGGTTAGGGCTTGTAATTATATTTTGAATGCCTTTTTGGATGTTGGAGGACAAACTACTGAATAAAGGATCTTGCCTCCTTGGAGTGGATTAATTGTAAGTAACAAAGAAAAAAAATAGATTTATAAGAATTCAAATATAGAGAGTAAAGGCAATCTTTTTATAATTAGTTAAAATTTTTGGGATATTTGGGTTTGAATTATTGGGTTGGGTGATCTCCCAGAAAATGAAAATTCAAAACCTTACACCAATGTATATTGCACTGATATCTCATTTTTATAAGTTAGGAGGCTAGGAAAGGGTGTATCACCTCAAGAGTGTTATTGTGGTTTAAATGCTTTTCTTGCAACATATGATGTGGGGACCAAGGGAATGCTACAATAAAACTATGCTTCTAAACTATAAGAAATGAGCCACAGTTGTGTGCAATAAGAGTAAAGAGATTATCACAATCAAGAGATTATAAATCTGCATTCAATGATACAAGACAAAAAAGTGATTGTTAAATTTGTGGTGACCTCATGTTGTTTGAGATTAGTTTTTCATAGGATGTCATGCCATGTATATAGGGTATATCCCATGACAAAAATATTATATACATAATCACATTTTGATTGCTAATATAGCAATTGAAAAGTGATTGTGTGCATAATATTTTTGTATGCAACTCAAAACAAACAATAAATCTACATATGATAGATAATTTAAGCATTATAACAAATATACACAATTATATTCATTGCCAA